CAAGATATTTAAATAATATTGTATAGCTCTTCAACACCTTTCTGTGGATATAAAGAACGTTGAAAACGGATTTGGAACAAAGAAGTTACGATCGTTTGAAGTTAGGACGATTTTTGGGTTAGCCACGTACGCAGGGCGTACTAGGGTATCCCTAGTATGCTGGATGTACCAGGAGTACGCAGGGCATACGCGATCAGTACCCAAACCCTATTTTCGTGGTTTGATCCCTATTTAAGCTCCTTAAATTCCCCAAACATATTCCATTCTCAGCCTCCACCTTTCAACACCCTATCTTGAAACCCTAACCCTAGATTGAGCCTTGTGAGCAAAAAGAAGTGTTTTTAAGTGCTTTGGAGTGTTCTTGGTGCACCTTGGAGAAGAAGGAACTCATTGAAGAAGTGTTGGTTGCATTGGAGCTTGTAGATCCAGACTTTGTTCACCTTGATCTTTCTTCTAGAGGTATAAATTTTGAATCTTAATGATGAAATTGTTAGATCTAGCTAGTTTTGAGTGTTATGAGCTTTTGGTCACTTTAAGTGCATAAAGTTTAGATATTGAAAGTTTGTGACCTTGTTATGGATAAAGTTGGAAACTTTATCCATCTAAACATCATTTTGTTTTAGATATGAAGGTTGGAGACTTGGACTTAATGGATTAAGTTGAAAAAGATGCACTTTTGGGTCCCTTTGAGACTTAAAGACAATATCTTCTTTGTTGGGACCATTCTAATGGATAAAGTTGGAAACTTTATCCATTATGGAGGCATTATGAACCATAAAAATGTGATCTTGGCCCTTCTATTCCTTCCATACAAGAGTTGTGATGTCTTATTTAGGTTAAGAACTTAGGGTTTTGGACATTAAGCACTTTATAGCCATGCAAAGTCATAAAGTTGGAAACTTTATGACTTAGGACATCATTTTGGACTTAGATCTGAGTTTTGGACGTAAGGGCTTAATGAAATAAGCTCTTAATGAAGTTGTGGGACTGGGCTGAATATGTTGGGTGTACCTGGTGGTATGTTGCGCGTACGCGGTCAACGCCCCGCTTTTGGTCAACATAAGCGTACGTTGGGCGTACTCTCTTGGTACGCAGGACATACTCTGCTTGGAAGAAATATTGACTTTTGGACCTTGACCGTTGACTTTGACTTTGACCAGGGTTGGCCAAGTTTGACTTAAGGGTATTTTAGGTATTTTGAGCTATAACTAAGCTTTAGTCTCTATCTGTTGAATAGGTGACCTGTGGAGCCGGTATTCGGAGCATTGTATTGTTCGGCCATTCATTAGACTGTAAGATGAGTTTTCCTCATCGTACCTGTGGGTCGAAGGCACCAATACCGGCCCATTTAGTTATGTATCCTGGTATATAGGATTTTGCTATATGGTAGTGATCTGTAGATCTGTCTGCTAGTCTGTTAACTAGTTATATGATTATTTGTTGTTGGATATATATGTATATATCGAGATGGTATGGTGGGGTTGAGACTGTACTGCTTTGTGCTATTAGTCAACAGACCGGGGCATTCCAAACGAAAGGTTATGGGCCAAGGCATTCCAACCGAAAGTTTGTGGACCGTGGGTAATCCAACCTGGAGGTTGTGGACCCGTTATGTATGGGACAAGCCAACCGAAATGTTGTAGGGCGGGGCATTCCAACTGAAAGGTTGTGGGCCGAGGGTAATCTAACCGGGAGGTTCTGGACCCATTATGTATTGGCAATCCAACCGTTGGGACATTCCAACCGAAGGGTTTTGGGTCGGGGGTAATCCAACCTGGAGGTTGTGGACTCGTGATTTGTCTGGTTATATGTTTGTGTGGTGGTACTTCGGGGGAACTCACTAAGCTTTGGCTTACAGTGTTAGTTTATGGTTTCAGGAACTTTCAGAGGATCATGGGAAAGAAAAGGCATGATCGTGCACAACTTCCAGTTTTTATGGCTTTAGGTCTTGGGAAAACTCTGATTTTGAAACTATGTTTTTGGAAACAATGACTCTTTTGTAAACAATGATGTTAAATGGTTGATTTTGAAAATTTTAAATTCCTTCGATTTTTGGGATGTTTTAGTTCACTTTCCATTGATTCCCTCTATGAAGTCACTAGAAGTCTTCTCGATATGAATCAGAAAGTAGTCAACATTTTAATGAAATTCAAAGAAGACATTAGGAATAACTGAGGAATTGTTTTCCTTAGTTAAAGATTTCTTTGATCTAAGTCTCCTCACTCTAGATTTTTGTACATCATTCGATGATTGCTTCAAGCACGGGTATTTTTGGAAGGTACGTTCGAAGAACAATGATATTTTCAATGAGATTTTGCTTCATGTAGCCATTATTGCCATGTTGCCCTCCAAACTATGAAAGCTTCTAACTTTTGATTACCAATTGATTCACCATTGAAAATAGCAAAATATATTCCACTTAATATTTTTAATAAATGATCATAAGAACAATCATCTATACCTTTTGATATAAATGATGTAATACTTACAAAACCTTTCTTCTAGGACATCAAAATTGAGCATAAAATTATAAACTACAAAAAATGGTATAATATTTATGATTTTATTGATATAACTTTGTTAGAATTAAATAACCAACTCAAAAAATTATATATATATATATATATATATATATATATATATATATATATATATATATATATATATATATATGTGTGTGTGTGTGTTTGTATGTGTGTGTAAAATAGCCATTTTACATAAAATCATATTTATGAAGTCATAATCTTATTATAAATTTGTTCCATTCCAGTAATATCATAAAATTAATTTACAAAAAATAATATGATTCTACTGACGTAATAGCGAATATTCCATTTAAAACATATGTCAGAATACATTGCTTACGTGTGACTCCAAAATCACCATATATGAATAGCCACATTGAAATATAAAGCGTTTTGAACACGTAATTCAACAAAATGTACATGGCCAAGTTTCAAAATATCAGCCGATGTTACGAGTGAAAAACAAAATATAGGGACAAAATGTGCAGATTGAACCAAACTATATGGACGATTCATATAATAATAATAATATTATTATTAATATTAATAACATTAATAATAATTAACAATAACAATAACAATAATAACAATAGTTTTTTTTTTGAACTAATTTCATCTGTCTGCAGCGAGAATTGAATCATTGACCTCAAAGAGGAAGAACAAAATTTGATACCGCTGGGTTAGAATAACAATCAGCGACACACGGCCATCTTAATATTTATAATTTTATATATATTTTATTAATACTCATCAACAATTAAACACGGATTTGCTATAAACTATTTCCTTTCCAATATTATTATTTTTTTAATCTATTTTGCGACGGATACTATCCTTCACTAAAATAGTAAAATCCGTCTATGATATTCATCAGTTATAATGTATTACATTTTTGGTCAAAGTTGATGGTTTGAGAGAGACCCGTGAAAGTGATCGGTAGGACAATTTAAACCTCATATGCCGGTGCACTAGAATTGAATATTCGTAGAAAATAAAAGGACGAACAAGAGAGTATTATCTTTACTTCTATACGAATGAAGTTGTATTAGATCTGGAGCCAACCAAATATTTTTTATAAAAGAAACACAAACCCCACGAATATATGCATGGTTAGGAGCAACAAGAATTGTTATAATATTCATAAGTGGGATATCATAAAGTTTTACCTAAAACGTCCTTTAAAAAGGATGTATTCCAAAAGCATTTTAATGATGTTAAATGACATTGTAATGCGTACTAATGTATCAAAAATTTTCCCTGATGTCATATATATATATATATATATATATATATATATATATATATATATATATATATATAGGTTCAGGTTAATTTGAGACCATGCTAATTTTGTAAGACCGTGAGACCAAATCTAAAAATAATTTTAAAATGCAAAATAAAAGGAAAATCCAAAAATTCTTTTTTTAATTATTATTTTCGGAACTTTAATTACCTAAAAAAATATTATAAAAATAAAAAAAATAAAAAAAAAATTACTGTTTTTTTTTTGAAATATACGTGAAATATTCTAATAGAATATTACATTGTAAATATTCTAATGTGATTTTTAGAATGTTAGAATATTATACTACATTTCTCGGATATGTAGAATATTCTATTATTCTACTAGAATATGTAAAAAAAAGTATTTTTTTTTTTTTTTTTTTGGAAAATATAAATTCCGAAAATAATATTTGAAAAAAAAATTTCAAAAATTTTCAATTATTTTGCATTCTAAAAATGTTTTTTGTTTTATCTACCAAATGAATGGCTAGGATTGCGTCTCACGGTCTCATAAAATTAGGCCGTCTCACATTAACCTAACCATATATATATATATATATATATATATATATATATATAATATATATATATATATATATATATATATATATAGGCTTAGGTTATTTTGTTTATTATATATATATGCATAAATGTGAGCCAATCAAATTTACATATTTTAAGAAAGTGATTAATATATATTATTGAATTAAATATAATTGAAAAATATCATCTTAATTAATTATAAGGGTAATTCAGTCAATTAATATAGACTTAATAAAGGAAAATTGCATTTTTTAAGGGATCATAGATTCTATTAATTTTAAAAATCCGATTTTAAGAATTATAATTATTTTAATTCGGACATTCTGACAGAATATGTTTATGAGTATATTCAAAATTAAAAATATTCTTGAACCATAAATAATAAAAATATTCTTGAACCTATTTCTTGATCATGAATTTAAAAACTTCTTGTAGAATAACAAATTCTTGAACAATCACTAGAAGAATAAAAACAAAAAATACATTATTTCTTATAGAATACGGGTAAAAATTGTTAATAATTACATTTAATGTTAAAGAATAAAACTAAAAAACAATCAAAACCGGAAAGAATACATCAAAATCTAACAACGACTAATACATTTCTAAAAGAATAATGTGATCCGTTTCAATTTTGTGGTCCGTTCT